CATGTTAGTTGAAATTAAATTTGACATTAAATAACTTGTTATTATAATTGTTCCCAAATATCAATTATAATTTCAACTCACATTATCAATTTGATGGTTATTACAAAAATATCATTGCATCTCTTATTATAAATAAACTACACCCATATAATAAGTTGTTATTATTTTCTATTTTTTACTACTGAAATATTAGAAATTGTTCATATTCTCTTAAAAAACATATGAAATTTAATTAAATAAATTATATGTCATACTATTATATATTATATCCAAAAACATCTTGTTATAAAGTGATTCTCTCAACTAAAAAGTATATTAATTATATTTCATTAATAGAATTTTGTTATCATATTAATTTCAATAAAACAAATATTTTTATTAAATAACATTATAAAACATTGAGATAAATTAAAGCTATCCAAGTATTGACCATTACAAATACTAATTACCTATAACAGTTAGTTGGATAAATAAATTACATCTGAATATTTTAAAATAACTTAAGAAAAAACTTAAAATGATTTATCTTAATTAATTCCAAAAATTACCTCATAAATCACTTCTAATTTTAAATATACATTGGGCTGATATCAGCAATGACACGAATGGCCATTGACCCAGAAATTTCTAACACCATAGCCCAATCTTTCTCATCACAGTGCGAAGATACTATTTACACTCCCTATTTATTAATGCACGGTTTTCATTTTTTTTCCATTTTATTAAATTGTAATTTTAATGTCTATTTTTGTATCCATAGTTTTTAAATTTCTTTCTATAGTTTTAGTTATTATATTTTAAAGGATCTCAAATTTTGAGTCAAGTTATATTTTTACACTTAGGTTTTCTTTATTTAATTTTAGTATAATTGAAGTCTAAATAATAATTGTACTGTATGTGGTTAAGTATTCTTCGACTATATCCATATGGTTTTAGTTCTCAGACAATGCACCGCAGATTACATAAATGAATACATCCTCACTATTTGCACTTAAACATGTTCAATTTGTATGGTAAGTGACTATTATTAGACAGATTACTTGATTTCTTATACTGATACTTATGATGCATAGACTACTATGTAGTTGTCTTTAAAGTAAGATCAAACGTTCAAGGTGAATACACTATTGGACCCATAAACTCCATAAAAAATATTATAAATAGCTCTTATTATAAGGAATATAATTTACGTTTTTTATTAGTTACACATTTATTATTTTACTGATGTGAGAGTGTGAAATATCTTCTACAAGGACAAGTAATGAAGAAGAGGTCGAATATTAAAAAGATCAAAAGTTAAATATTTTTAAAAAATGTTTGAAGTCTTTGTAGAATACATTATCCATAAAAAATATAGTCAATCAGTTTTCTAAATAAATATTAGTTATCCAAAAAAGCCAATAAATATTCCATATGAATAATATGCTTATAAAAGAAAAAAACTAAAACTAACTCATTGGTGGAAGATGCCATCAAAGCAATTCAGATAGGAGATATATACTGTATATTTATCTCTGAAAAAGCAGATTTTTGTATACTATAAAGGCCGCTTTCTTGTGATTCCAAAATTCCAATGAGAAGAAATCTTAGTCGTTAAGCTTACAACATCAAAAATAAAAAGTCTATAAAATGAACGCAAAATCATCTGTGTAAAAAACTTGTTAGATTTACATTTGCATAGCTTTTGAAGTGTAGGTCGGAAGCATTGTTTTCATTGCAGAGTATAATTATAATTGACTTTAGGTGAATAATAAACACATTTAAATTTTTCATTTTACACTAATCAAACCCAACCTTACATGGGCCATGCTATCATTACCTCTTGTTTAAACATCAATTTGCTAAAGATGATGTACTTTATATTCATTGTGTATGACTCGTCCACGTTTGCTCTCGTGAACACAACCATATAATTAATTAAATACATTAAAACTTTGAAGTCATCCCAATAAAATCTGTTAAATTGATTATCCATCATGCTGGGGTCCAACAACAATTTCAATCAATGGGTTTCTTCCACCACCCTTTGAATTCAAACTCTTTTATCGTTTTCATTTAAACCCTAACAAACATAAACCCAACCTTATTCAAGGGTTGTTTTCGACATATCCATAATATCTCCTTCTGTTGTTTTTGGACTTAATTTCCCAATGTCGAGATATCGAATGTGTCGGTTCATATCACGAGCCGTTCAAAGATATGCATTGTTTATGTTCTGCTCAGTTTTTCACATTTTGTTCTTTCCCAAATTCATGGTTTTTTCTTTGAGGATGCGTCTCTTTGTTCTCAGGCAAGACCTAGAGGTTGATAATGTCATGAGGAAGAGAAGAGACTACTCACAAGAGATATATTTTAACCAAGGAATATTTAACTATTATACTTATTTTTTTCATGAAATAATAAAGATAAGGGTTAAATATGTTTTTCGTCCCTTAAGTATTACACGATTTTGGTTTTAGTCCCTACTCGAAACTTTGATGGTTTTTAGTCCTCGTAGTTTTAAAACTATTAGTATTAATCCTCAAAAATGGACGGCGTTAAGTTTTAGTAAAAATATCAAACGGCAATGTCCAACTGTGCTCTGCACTTTCTGCCACGTTGCTGGTCAATAAAAATCTGACACTGAAGTGGCCATTCTCATTCTTCCTCCCTCACCCTCACTACTCACATTCACAACATGACTCATATCTGGCCTTTGGTTTGGTTCCCTGGTAGTGCAGTGCCCAGCTAACTCGGCAATGATGGAGACAATATCGAACATCTCTTCCTTTATGTCAAGGGCAGGGTCAACAGCAGTCATTAGTTTCTCCTTGTCTGATTTTACATGCCAGAACCACGATGCCAAGTACTGGCTTTCCTCAGGTCTATCTTCATCAAGTGCCATTAATCCAATTAACAGCTCCATTAGAACAACGCCGAAACTGAAAACATCTGCTTTGGTGGTAACTTTTCCTATCACTAAAATATATAATATAAAAAGAAGAAATCAGTGTAATCTAGTGTGTCAAACACATCAGGATCATGCATTTGGGTCTGTAAAAGTTTCAATATGGTCCCTGATAATTATATCATGCAGAATCATACTAAGTCTATCCTCCCTGGTGAGATATTTCTCTCTGTTTTCTGTGAAAATTTTTAAAATTGTATTCACTTATTTTCAAGATTTCCCATTATGACTATATATATATATATATATATAGAGAGAGAGAGAGAATCAACAGAGCATGCAATAGCATACAGAATCAACAGAAGTCACAGAAAAAATAACCTGATTAAATTCGGGAATATTATAAAATTTCCTATTATAAAAGATTTTCAAAATAAAAAAATACAAAATTACCTGCATATTCTGCTGCCAAGTATCCAAATGTACCAGCAAGCCTGGTCACTACAGATTTTTTGCCATCAGGGGCAAGTTTTACCAATCCAAAATCCGAGACTTTTTCTCTAAAGTCATACCCAAGCAAAATATTTGATGATTTAAGATCTCTGTGAATGAAGATCTGATGTGCCAGGCTATGAAGATACTCCATTCTTCTAGCAACATCCAAGGCGATATTGAGCCTCCTCTTCCAAGAGAGTGGCTCTAGTTGCAAGCTCTTCCAATGGAACAGATGCATACTCAGAGCCCCTTGTGGCATATACTCATAAACCAGAATCCTCTCATTACCTTCAACTGAATAACCCAAAAGAGATACCAAATGCCGGAAGAGCACTGTAGCGAAAACCTAGATCTTCGCCGTGTGAGAGAGGAAGAACGAGAATGGCCACGTATTCTTATTGGTCAACGTGGCAGAGAGTGCAGAGCGCAGTTGGATATCGCCGTTTGCCACATCTACTAAAATTTAACGCCATCCATTTTTAAGGACTAATATTAATAGTTTCAAAACTACGAGGATTAAAACCCATCAAAGTTTCGAATAGGGACTAAAACCAAAATCGTGTGATACTTAAGGGACTAAAAACATATTTAACCCTAAAGATAATTTATTATTTTACAACACTTGTTTATTTTAAAAACCTAACTTATTCTTATATATGCATCTCTTTTCTCTCGAATCTCATGTTATTAAAGAGAAATGTGTGTATTGTAATGAATTTCACCAATAAATTTAAAAGGTTAAAGTAATATATTTATAACGAAAGATGATAAAAGGAGAAAGTGTTTAACAATGATGAATAATCAATATTACAGTAAACGATGATCCAATATTCATATACAATAGTCCCTTCTATTCTAGAATTCTAATAGTAGAATAGAAAAAATAGCAAATGATAGAACGAACAAAATAACAAATGACAGAACGGACAAAATAACAAAACGAAAAATATGCAGTGGTGCAAGATTGTAAGTTTGTTATAAAAAACATATTGTACAAGTTTGTTAGCCTCCCGCAAGCTGGAAAGGAGTGTCAACCATCTCTAGCTCGGACAAGTTTGCATGGAATAGCCGAGGAGGAAGAGCTTTAATGAAGATATCAGCAAGTTGCCGAGATGATGGAACTGGAAGAAGCTTCATTAATCCTGCTTGTGCCTTTTCTCGAACCAAATGACAATCTATCTCCAAGTGTTTTGTTCTTTCATGAAATACTGGATTTGCAGCAATGTATAAAGCACTTTGATTATCACAATAAAGTGTTGTTGACTTAGAACACTAGATTTTGAGATCATTGAGAAGGTAAGTTAACCATTGCAACTCACAGGTACTAGTAGCAAGGGCTCTATATCCTGCTTCAGAGGAAGAACGAGACACATTATTCTATTTTTTGGTTTTCCAAGAAATTAAAGAGTTCCCTATGAAGAAACAATAACCTGTGACTGATCTGCGTGTGGAGACGCAAGTTGCCCAATCGGCATCACTAAACCCAATTAGGTGTATAGGAGAATTTCGTTGGAAGTAGAGCGCCTTGTTTGGACAACCTTTCAAGTATTTAATAACTCTTTTTGCAGCACCTAAATGAGACTTTGCAGGATTTACCATGAACTGACTTAATTGTTGAGTCGCAAAGACGATGTCTGGACGAGTCGTTGTGAGATAAATCAAACGACCAATGAGGTGCCTATAGGATAGGGGATCATCAAGTAATTCACTCAAATTAGCTTGTTTTAAACGAAGAGAGGTATCCATAAGAGTGGAACTCGGTTTACAACCCAATAATCCTGAATCAGAAAGCAACTTAAGGTAGTATTTTCGTTGAGATACAAAGATGTCATCATCATACCTGCTTACTTCTAATCCTAGAAAATATTTGAGTTCCCCCAAATCTTTAATTCAAAAATTGGATTGAAGTATATGCTTGAGCTTTGTTATTTCAGTGGAAAATATTTGAGTTCCCCCAAACCAGTAAATTTCCCTTTTTCATGCTTGATAAACAAGCTGTGATCAGCATGTGATTGGAAATAACCTGATGAGAGAAGAAGGTTAGAGATTTTCCCATACCATTTTCGACTTGCTTGTTTTAGCCCATGGAGAGATTTTTTGAGCTTGCAACACTGTGAGGATTCATACCCATATAGACCTTGAGGAATCTTCATGTAAACCTCCTCGGACAAGTGACAGAGTAGAAAGGCATTACTAACGTCCAATTGTTGCAATTCCCAATTATTTATGGAAGATAGGGCAAGGATAACTCGTAC